GTGGATGGATGGATGAATGGTGAGTGGTGGGTGGATGGATGGATGGATGGATGGGTGGATGGATGGATGGATGAGTGGATGGATGGATGGGTGGGTGGATGGATGAAGGAATGGATGGATGGATGGATGGATGAATTGGTGGGTGGGAGGATGGATGGATGGATGAGTTGGTAACAGGGTGCATGCATCTCGCTCCCAGAGTCAGAGACTTTCCCTTGTCCTGGGTCCCTCTGAAGTAGGTGAACACATTAAACCGTGTTGTGAAAGTCCTCGCAGTTGGAAGGACGTCTCCTGTTTCTACTCCAATGTTGTTTTCTTTTGTTTTTGTCAGAATGCCGGGCCTGGCAGCAGGAATCCCCCGGTAAGTTTGGCCTCAGGCTCGCCGTGTGCTCGGACTGCTGGTGGGACCCTCTCTGTGTCCGTGTATCCGGGCTGGGTGGGCGTCTGTCTGCACCGGTGGACGGCTGGCCCTGGGGAGCACTCGGGTCCCAGGCCCGCCCCCTGCAGCACCCAGATCCGGCCTGGGCGCAGTGTCTGCTGCCTGGCAGCCCTTCCCGGCTGTGTCGGCCCCTCCCGGCTGGGGTGTGCATTCTCTGCCTTTGGGCCCCGAGGAGAGTCCCTCTTCTGTTGCCCTGAGTGTCCACCCTACACTCGGATTCGCTTAGTCAGCTGTCCCCGGCCCCTGGCACCCGGAGGACCCGTGTGGACAGTAGCCTGCTGCTCGGGCGCCTTCTGGAAGGGGACGAAGCCTCGCCATGGTGCCTTCCCGCGTGTCGGGACAGGTGACCGGGTACCTGCTGTGCACAGCATCATCAGGCTGAATTTTCTTGTGCCTAATGACAAGGAACACAGTCCCGAAGCGCTCAGCACAGAGGCACCGTTTCCCCCACGTGCCTTCCTCTCCGAGTGTGGTGCTTCCTCTTGTGAGCACGCGCACTCAGGAGGCTGAGGCGGGAGGATCCCTGCTGAGGGCTCAGGCCCAGCCCGGGCCCCGTAGTGAATCCAACACCACCCTGAACAGAGCCTGGTGCTTCCTCCAAAAAAGAAAAGCAAAGAAAAAATCAAATGTTTCTGCATCTGTGCTCGGTTAAATCTGCAGAATCTGCTCCCAGCAGGCCGAATGCACTTGGACGTGACAGTCGGTGACGTCATGGTGTCACGTGCCTGGTTTTAATGTAACAGATTCACATTTTCTGGTACTCGGGGCTCCATTCCCAGCAGCTGTATTCTGTGTTTTGAGACACGGGTTCCCTAAGATGCCCAGGCCGAGCTTAAACCTGAGACGCCAGCTCAGCCTCCCGAGCAGAGCGGGCAGGTCTCGCGGCGCCCAGACTCCCGTGAGCGCCTCCTGCCTGCGCTGAGCACAAGGCCGTGGACCCCTCAAGAGCTCTGCTGCCTCAAGGGTGCGGAACGTGTGCCCGATGCAGGCTCTGCTCTCCTCCCAGGTGGACGTGGCCGGCCAGGCAGACAACCAGTACAGCATCCCCAGCCCTCAGCCCCGCGCCAGGCACACGGTGCAGATCCGCGTGAGAGACGTGCGCAGCGGGCCGTGGAGCTCGTGGAGCCAGCCCGTGGAGTTCGGTAGGCGCAGGGTCCGGGAGCATGCGGAGGGAAGAGGGGCTGCTGGCACAGTGCTGGTGGGCACGGAGGACCTGGTCTGCAGGCGGGCTGGGGAGCCCTGAGTTCACAGGGGGACACAGGGACAGCGTCACCACGAGGAGCCTGGCCTCATCCGGAGTGATCAGATGTGGGTGGGTGGGTGGATGGGTGGATGGATGGGTGGATGGATGGGTGGATGGATGGGTGGGTGGATGGGTGGATGGGTGGATGGATGGATGGATGGATGGGTGGATGGATGGATGGGTGGATGGATGGATGGATGGGTGGATGGATGGATGGGTGGATGGATGGATGGGTGGATGGATGGGTGGATGGATGGATGGATGGATGAGTGGATGGATGGATGGATGGATGAGTGGATGGGTGGATGGATGGATGACTGGATGGATGGATGGAGGATGGTTGGATGGATGGATGGATGCGTGGATGGATGGATGGATGGATGGACGGGTGGATGGATGGATGGATGGGTGGATGGATGGATGGGTGGATGGATGGATGGGTGGATGGATGGGTGGATGGATGGATGGATGGATGAGTGGATGGATGGATGGATGGATGGGTGGATGGGTGGATGGATGGATGACTGGATGGATGGATGGAGGATGGTTGGATGGATGGATGGATGTGTGGATGGATGGATGGATGGATGGATGGACGGGTGGATGGATGGATGACTGGATGGAGGATGGATGGATGGGTGGATGGATGGATGGATGCATGGATGGATGGATGGATGGATGGATGGGTGGGTGGATGGATGGGTGGATGGGTGGGTGGATGGATGGGTGGATGGATGGATGGATGGATGGGTGGATGGGTGGATGGATGGGTGGATGGGTGGATGGATGGATGGATGGATGGATGGATGGGTGGATGGATGGATGGGTGGATGGATGGGTGGATGGATGGATGGATGGATGAGTGGATGGATGGATGGATGGATGAGTGGATGGGTGGATGGATGGATGACTGGATGGATGGATGGAGGATGGTTGGATGGATGGATGGATGTGTGGATGGATGGATGGATGAATGGACGGGTGGATGGACGGATGACTGGATGGAGGATGGATGGATGGGTGGATGGATGGATGGATGCATGGATGGATGGATGGATGGATGGATGGGTGGGTGGGTGGATGGGTGGATGGGTGGGTGGATGGATGGGTGGATGGGTGGTGGATGGATGGATGGGTGGATGGGTGGATGGGTGGATGGGATGGATGGATGGGTGGATGGATGGGTGGATGGATGGGTGGATGGGTGGATGGGATGGATGGGTGGTGGATGGATGGGTGGATGGGTGGATGGATGCATGAGTGGATGGATGGATGGAGGATGGTTGGATGGATGGATGGATGCGTGGATGGATGGATGGATGGATGGACGGGTGGATGGATGGATGGATGGGTGGATGGATGGATGGGTGGATGGATGGTGGATGGATGGATGGATGGATGAGTGGATGGATGGATGGATGGATGAGTGGATGGGTGGATGGATGGATGACTGGATGGATGGATGGATGGGTGGATGGATGGGTGGATGGATGGGTGGATGGATGGGTGGATGGATAGATGGATGGATGAGTGGATGGATGGGTGGATGGATGGATGGGTGGATGAGTGGATGGGTGGATGGATGCATGAGTGGATGGATGGGTGGGTGGATGGATGGGTGGATGGGTGGGTGGATGGATGGAGGATGGTTGGATGGATGGGTGGGTGGGTGGGTGGATGCATGATATGTTGAAGTAATCAAATAGATACATAAGGACAGACAGATAGAAAATAGAATATACAGTTGGGTGCACAATAGGTTTTTCAGGTTATGGATGGATGAGAAGATCGAGAGGTCAGAAAGGGGGATAGAGACAGAGGCGGACAGCAGACTCTCTCCCGGGCAGCAGAAGTCATCCCGGGTGCCTGTACATGCAGAGCGTTCACCTGACTCCGCTGCTGTAACCTGCAGTCAGCGAGCATGTGACTTTTAGCCCCGAAGTCTCCACCTCACACAGCTTGAGACGCTTGAACATAAGTACAGAGCTGGCCTTGGAGGTGCCCACGTGTCATCCCAGCACTCAGAAGGCTGAGGCAGGACGGTCCCTGCCAGTCTGAGATCAGCCTGGGCTGCACGGTGGGACTGTGTCTCAAAAAAGGAAGGAAGGAAGAGAAAGAAAGAAAGGAGAGAGAGAGAGAAGGGAAGAGAGATTTCCTGAAACAAACAGAAGCTTCATTCCCGCCGTCCTCTGTCCGTCTGTCATAACCTCCGTTTCCTGCTGAGGACTGAGCCCAGGCCCGTGCGCTGACCCCGACCTCGGCCCCTGTTCTCGTCTGTTTTGATGAAGGCCGGACTGAGTTGCTGTGGAGCCCGGCCTGGGCTGTAGCGTGACCTCCTCCCGCCTTGGCCTCCCGAGGGCTGGGACGTGTGGCCTGCGCCTCTCACCCTGGCCTCAAATCGGCCCTGAATTTGGCCTGTGGGCCCCCGCGGCTGAGCTGCCATGCTGGCCGTGTCCCCAGGGCTCGTGTGAGGTCGCCGCTCCTGCCCGCCGCCCGCCAGCGCTGCCCGCTGCCCACCGTGCTTGCGGCCCTGGCCCAGCACCCCCTTCTCCTCCACAGGCTCCGACACCTGGCAGCCCCGTGCCCTGAGCCTCTACATCCCAGTGGTGCTGGGCACCGTCATGTGTGCCCTAGTCCTGGGCTTCCTGTTTAAAAGGTAACCCCCACGTGAGACCCTCTGCACCCCTGGGGCTCCTCACGATCAGTCTGGGGCCTCAGAACACGAGGGAGCAGTTAGCAGAGCTCAGTTGTGACGCAGCCGGCCGTGAGGTGGGCAGCTAACGACAGCTAATGATCGGGGCCCACAACCCCACATTAAGGGGCTCCGCCTCACACGAGCCACGGGTGCCACCGGCCCAGCAGCCCGTCCACAGATCACAGGAGCAACAATGTGCTTTGAATACTACGCGGCCCTGAAAAAGGGTGGGTCGTGTGGAACCGCTGGCTGGGTAAAGCCAGGGCGTAGAGGGGGGCCGTGTCCAGTGTCCAGGGACCGCAGGAGGCCGCAGGGAAGGGTGGACCGCGCCACTTTCTGCACAAAATGGGGGAAGAAAGCATGTGCAGGAATCACAGAGCACTGTGGCCATGCGGAGGGAGGTGAAGCCGTTTGTAACGGGGACTGGGGTGGAGAAAGGGCGCAGGGAGATGCCGGCCCTGGGCCGTGAGCGCCTGGTCCCCACAAGGTTGGGGACGCTTCTGAACTTCACACAATCAAGTGCTGCCTCGCACAACAAGCAGCACCTCAGGCTGAGCACCGCGAGCTCACGACCGGCTCCCTCTCACTCTGCCTGTGCCTCTGTCTCTGTCTCTCTGTCTCTGTCTCTGTCTCTGTCTCTCTGTGTCTCTGTCTCTGTCTGAGTCTCTCTGTCTCTGTCTCTCTGTGTCTGTCTCTCTGTGTCTCTGTCTCTGTCTCTGTCTCTGTCTCTCTGTGTGTCTGTCTGTGTCTCTCTGTCTCTCTGTCTCTGTCTCTGTCTCTCTGTGTCTCTGTCTCTGTCTGTGTCTCTCTGTCTCTGTCTCTCTGTGTCTGTCTCTCTGTGTCTCTGTCTCTGTCTCTCTGTCTCTGTCTCTCTGTGTCTGTCTCTCTGTGTCTCTGTCTCTGTCTCTCTGTCTCTGTCTCTGTCTCTCTGTCTCTGTCTCTGTCTGTGTCTCTCTGTCTCTGTCTCTCTGTGTCTGTCTCTCTGTGTCTCTGTCTGTCTCTCTGTCTCTGTCTCTCTGTCTCTGTCTCTCTGTCTCTGTCTCTCTGTCTCTGTCTCTATCTCTGTCTGTCTCCCTGTCTGTCCTCTCTGCCTCTGTCTGTCTGTCTCCCTGTCTGTCCTCTCTGCCTCTGTCTGTCTGTCTCCCTGTCTGTCCTCTCTGCCTCTCTCATTATGTGTAATACTTAAGCTATAACGGAGTACTATGAAGCTACAAAAAAGCATGCAAGCATGTCGTTAGGAGCTAAATCAGGCACAGAACAAGCAGCAGCTGGAGATGGATCGCAGGGAGGGATGGATGGATGGATGGATGGATGGATGATAGACAGATGGACGCCATGCAGCTGAGGTAAAGCTCAAGGTGACTCCATTTACATCAGACGCCTGCTGGGCGGAGCAGAGGCCCCAAATGTATGTACGCTGGAATACTACGCAGCCACAGTAAAGGATGGGGCCACACCGTCTGGGGCAGTGCACACACCCTGAAACTCTTGGTTAACGGCGTCCAGCAGGCTGGGAAAGATGAGCACGGTCCGCTTCCCGTAGTGCGGGGCAGCCGAAGGCGTCCTCACGGGTGGCAGGGAAGCTCTCCTTCCACTGCAGAGGCGACGGAGGCGCCCCAGCCAGGCGTGAGCGGGACGCCGTGCGTGCTGTGGGCTGGGCTGAGCACCTGGCCCGCTGCCAGCTCCCCAGCTCCCCTCTGTCCCCAGGTTCTTCTCCGCCCACGGCCTGTGCCCCCGCATCCCGCACGTCAAGGACAAGCTGAACAGTGTGGATGGGGTCGCCGCTCAGGTAAGAGGGGACACAGGGTGGGCGCCGGGCAGACCTGGGGCGGGCAGCGGCGGGGATGGCCGGGGTCACCACCACCTCACCCAGGGCCGCAGCATCCCCTGTGGGGGGGTCCCCAGGCCGTGCCACGCCACCTCGGGGACTGGCTGGAGTCTCAGCTGTGAGGAGTCAGGGAAATGGGCTTGGGAGGGGGCAGGGGAGAAAGAAGCGGGAGGCGGGGCCCAGATGCAGAGATGGAGGGCACAGGGCAGAGATGGGGGGCACAGGGGCAGAGCCAGGAGAGGCAGAGGGCACAGGGACACAGTCAGGAGACACAGGAAGGGACCATGGCAGAGACGCACCCCAGGACCTTTGCATGCGCCGCCTCACCAGCCCCTCCGCGTCCCTTGGGGAGCCCTCGCCTCCCCGCCTCTCAGAATCCCGCCCTCACCCCCGAGCAGGTGCCCTGGGAGGACATGGTGCCCAGCGCCAGGAAGGCCAGCCCCGAGGACGTCCTGGTGGTGCAGGAGGTGTCCTGAGCCTGTGAGGACACCAGCATGGCTGCGAGCACAGCAGGCAGACGCGGGAGCCCGCAGCGTCCTCATACGTGGGGCTTTGCTGTGTGGAGCATTGGTGTGGCTTTGTTTTTTAAGAAAATGTTCTTTTGCAAAGGAGCGTTGGGCTCGTGGTGCGTCCTGACCCCGGGGAGCGCGTGGTGTTCAGTGCTGCCTGCCTGGCCACATCCCAGGGCAGGGCCGGGGCGCTGGTCCCGGGCACCGTCACTGGGTGGCGTCGCCAGGGAGCCGAGAGCCTGAGCTCTCCCGGGAGTGCCCCTTCCTGTGACGTCTCCGTGCTGAGTCACCCCGAGCGGGGGACGCAGCTGCTGCTATCACCGAAATAGCCTCCGCGTACAGGAGCAGACGGGGCGAGGCCCGTGGCCGTGGGGGCTCCGTCATGGCCAGCTGCTCCGAGACAGAAGCGTCGGGGTGGGAAGATGCTCACGTCATGGAGGAAGAGGCCACCAGGGGTCCCCCCTCGGGGTCGCAGCCCTGGAGACCGTCGCCCCAGCTCCTCCTAAAGGCTCACCAGAGCAGCCCACAAAGGCACAGAGCCGTGCATCAATACGGCACCACCGTGCTCCAGGGGCTCCCCAACCCCGTAACAGCCAGGGGACGGCTGAGGGTGTCCAGCACTGCGGACGGTTCCCAGTGTGCCTCCGTCTCCGGGGTGCAGGAAGCCAGCGCTGTGCTCACTGAGCCCACACCCGCGGGGGGCACAAAGTAACACAATCAGCACACGGCACAGTGGCAGGACGGGAGGATACAACAGGCTGTCCCTGGAAAGAGCCTGTCCAGCTG